GGAGGCGACAGGGAGACGGAGCGGCACTGGGGGTTTGGTGGCGTGAATCTTGGAACGAGCGGGAGAGGAGACGAGGGGTGGGTTGGGGGTTGACGGCGAAGGAGGAGCGGGAGGATGAAAGAGAGAAAAGAGAGATAGAGAAGGTTGCAGGTGGTTTACGTGAGAAAACAAGAAAAAGAAGATATAAATATAAAATTTTACAATTAATTAAGAAATTATTTAGAAAAAAATTTAGAATAATTAGGGTTATAAATTATTTACAATTAATACGTAACAATAATAATAACATAACAAATTTTAATTTAAAAGTTTTCACAGCATCAAGTTAATTTATAATTATTCAAATCATTTAAATAAATATAAAATTGGATTTTTAAATCGTAGAAAATTTTAGAAAATTTAGAAAAAATAAATTTTCTATTAAAATAATAATTGAATAATTTAAAATACCAAAAAATTTATTTTAACTAGTATTAAAAATTCACGGTCATTACAGTTAGGCTTTATGGTGTTCCAATGGAGATAATATCTGATAGAGATCCTAGATTCGTATCAGAGTATTGGAAAGATGTGCACAAAGTTCTTCGGAGTAAACTCTATTTTAGCTGAGCATATCATCCACAAACAGATGGTCAACCAGAGAGAAAAATTTAAACTCTCTAGGATATGTTAAGATGTTGTATCCTTGATTTGAAAGGATCATGGTAGGTGCATTTACCATTGGCAGAGTTTGCATATAACAATAGTTAATAGTCAACCATTAAGATGGCACCGTATGAGGTTCTATACGATAGAAAATGTCGTTCACCTATACATTTGGACGATGTTGGAGAAAGAAAACTTCTTGGACCTGAGTTAGTGCAACAAGCTATAGACAAGAATTACTTAGTAAGAGAGCATATCCAAAATGCACAAAGTAGACAGAAGAGTTATGTTGATCGGAGGAAGAGAGACTTAGAATTTCAAGAAGGTGATCATGCATTTTTAAAGGTGTCCCCTAGAAGAGGTGTGAAAAGATTTGGAATCCGAGGAAAGATGAGTCCAAGACTAAGAATTCTTCAGCGTGTTGGTGAAGCTGCTTATAGGCTTGCATTACCGCCTTTATTGGCTGGAGTCCATAATGTGTTTTATGTATCTATGCTAAGAAAATTTATTTAAGATCCAGATCAAGTTATAGAACTAGAACCCATTGAGCTAAAGGAAAACTTTACATAAGAGGAGCACCCGGAATGTATTGTGGATCATAAGGAACAAGTGCTTAGGAGACGTACTATTCGATATGTGAAGGTTCAATGGAAGATTCACTCTACAAGAGAAGCAACGTGGGAGCTTGAATATGAGATGCGGCATAAGTCTCCTCAACTTTTTGAAAACCAAGGTACGTAACGTTTCGAGGACGAAACTTTATTTATGGTTGGGAGGATGTAGTACCAATTTTTTTTAAGAAAATGAAGAGTTTTATAACTGAAGGTAGTAAAGAGTTATGATTGGGTTATTGTGTTGTTAATATGGGAGTTTAGAAATCCAAAAGCCATAGAAACTTAAAGAAAAAAAAACCCAAATTCCCAAATCTTCAGTTTACGAGAAGGAAAAAAAGGGTTCAACAAATTGCTAGCAACAAGCAGATAGGAGGAGAAGATAAGCTTCTCAAGGTTAGTTTCTTTGTTTTAGATTCATGGAAAAATACATTGAATACCTCTTCCCGGCCATTGTCGGCGTCTCCGACGACATTTGATAATCTCCGGCCACTCTTGCTCGTGGGTATCACCGGAAGTGGTCACTTTGCCCATGAACCAATCGAACTTTTGGGTTTGACTGTAGAAAAGATTAAACACAGAATGAAGATGAAGCTGGGAGAGAAATAGGAAATTTTAGTTTAAAAGTTTCTGAAATTTAATTTCTAGTCCAAATTATAATGCATACAGAAAAATTTGTTTCTGGAAACATCATCTTCCAACCCTTTAGGATAGAAAAATTTACAATTAAGTCCAAATTTTGTTTAAGAACAAAGGATAGAAATAAAATTTTAGAGAAGACCCTAGAAATAAGAGCATTATTTTTCAATACCCAAAATAGTTTATAATTAGAATTTTTATTATTTATACATATTGTATGCATATAGGTTTGATCGAGGGGTAGGTTCTTGGAGTACGGTTCTCCAAATTGTTATCAAATCTCTTGAGGTGAGTAGATTTTTTCTCATATGTTGTTTTCAATTAATATATTATTTAAATGATAATTTATTTTTGTAGGTGTGTAGAGAAATTGTGGATTAGACATGTTATTATGTTCATTATTAGTAATTGTTAACAAATTTAAGTTGTGATAGTTATTTATCTTTTATAAGGTAAATATTATTTTAGTATATGAGATAATTGAAAATATATCATTTCAAATTTACTGTTCAAATTTATTTATTAAAGAGTTCTATTTGACAAAAAATTAATTATTTATTCGTTTAGATTCATGAATATTCTACTTTCATGAAATTGATATGCGAAAAGTTTATAAAAGTGTTTAAGCATTTATATTGCTTTTCAAACTAGGGAAAATTATGAGTGATACTTTGAGCGAAAAGAAAAGTGTTTTAAATGTCGAAAAATACTCAGAAGTCCGCTATGGAGTGAAGTGATTTGTTTAAACCTACCATATGATATTGAATGTACTGACTAGTGTTAATGTAACATTTTTGGCAAAAGTGAGGTGACCTTCGAGCAATCTATGGTAGTGTTAGGTACATTTTATCTTCGGGTTAACTTATAGTGATTTGATGCGTATTCCCATGCTACTTGACTATAATTTTTGTAGTCTTAGTATGACAACTAAGTAAGTTTTGCATATGTGAATTTAGATGAATAATTACGATTTTAAAAGTATTTAGTGTTCATTCATATTGTTTCATAAATTGTAAATATTCTTTTATGAAATATCACACCTATTCTTGGAAATTCATCTTATTCGAAATATTATGTTTTTCTTAATCATTTTTTTACGATAGCTTATTTAAATTTTAGTATTGATAAATTATTAAACTTGTATGATCCGCTAATGATTAGTTTTCTACTCACTGAGTGTAAATTCATCCGGTTATTTTTCATTCTTTTTTAGATGAAAATTAGATAGCTCTATCTGTATCTCAGATCTTTGGAACATGAGAAGGATCTTTTAGGGGTGTTTCATGTTGAAAGTTAAAGTTATATGAGTCTTGGTTCTATGCATATGTAATAATAGTCTTTTGACTCTTTAGAGTAAACTTGTTATAATGTAGTTTTTCTCTAAGATTTCTCTATTTGTCAATAAATTTTCTTTTAAAATGAAGTTTAGTGTAATATAGAAGCACACCGCAGATTTAGCATGTGCTTTGTGCACGTGTTGCCATTGTTATGCATCTCAAAATAAGTTGTGCATTTTGGGGGCGTGACACACATGATTCAATGATATTATAAGCAAATCCAAAGCATTGGGAGAAGAGTATGATAACAATGAGTCTTGTAGAAAAATACTCTGTTCTTTATCCATAGAGGGAGAGCCTAAGGTAACGGCTATTGAAGAATTGCAAAATTTTCTAACTTAACTCTTGATGATCTCATACGTAATCTTCTCACATTTGAAGTATGATTAAAAGAAATAGAAGTTGCTGGAGATGATGATTACAAGAAAAGGTCGTTATCCCTAAAAGCTAAAAAACAAAAATCCCGATCTTAAAGATGGATTTAAGCTCAAGTTTTAAAGATGAAGATAGTCAAGTTGGATTCATGATGAAGGGATTCAAATCTTTTTTTAGATTAAAGAATGGAAAAAATACCATCAAAATAGATGAAATCAATTTACTAAGAAGGTAAATAAACATTCTTCGAGTGAATCTAAAACTAAAATTATTTGCTATCATTGCAGGAAACCAAGTCGTTACAACAAAAGATGCCCATTGAACATGAAAGATAAGAAGATGGAAGACAAAACTTTGAAGATGATAACATGATATATGACAAGTGATGAAGTATCAGAATTGAATCAATTGAAGATGATAAGAAGAAAATATGTGTCTTATGTGTAGAAACGCCACTACTTCGGAGTTTGAATAAAGTGAAACATGTGATTCTGAATCTAAAAATTTAGAGTTTGAAATATATCCTTCATATGATGAATTATATTCAACATATAAGGAAATGCTTAATTAACTCAAAACAATTGCTAAAAAATACGAAGTGACAATAAAGATGAATACAAATTTGAAGAATGAAAAGAGACTTCTTTTTAAGAAAATTGAATCTTTTTCTTCAAAACTGGATTCAAGTAATTCACCTTGTGATATTATAACTTTTGAATGCATACAATATTCTAAATTTTAAAATTAAATTTCTTATTTATCTAAGCAACTAGATGATAGACTCGTTGAAAATGAATACCTAATTGCCAAGTTAAACAAGTTAATGTGTGATTTATCACTTAAATAAACTAAGTTTGAAACCAGATGCACAACTATTATTTCTAAGAGTAAACAACTTAAGTCCAAAGATAGTGATTTCGAAAAGCCATGAAAAGTTTTCCATTGATTCAAAATGATTGACCATAATCCTTTCTAATCAACAATTGTTAAAACTAAAACTGGATTTTGGCTATTCATATCCTGGAAAACACAATAAGTTTTAATCTTCTTTTGATTTTTTATTTAAAAATATATTGGAGCACCATTGATGGGCCTCAATGAGATTATTGATGGTGGACCATCAAGTAGCAAAGGTAAAAAAAGGTGGTTTTATTTTTATTTTTTAGTTTTTACCCCCAAAACAATTTTCCCTCTCAATTTTTTTTAAATTTCACACTTTTCTTCATTTGTTCGCTTGATTTCTTAATTATCTTGGCAGATTATCATCTTATTATTTGATCGACCATCTTTGAATCATCGTCAAGGTATTTTTCAAAATCCTAACTTTCCCATTTGTACTTTTTCTAGGTTTTCACATGCTTATGTGACGTATCTTTATGTGTAAAGATGATATGGAGTTGTATATTGTGTTATAAACGAGTTTAATTAAATATTGAGCATGAAATTGTACGATTTTGAGCAAATTCTATCAATTTCTATTCTTGGAACATCGATGATCAATGAACACCATTGATGGTGTCTTAAACCATCGATGGTTGTCAGGTATCCTTCTATAGTTAGAAGTCTAAACACTAGTGTTTTTTACTCTTTTTCGTATTTTCTTTAATTCTCATTGATTCTAACCCATATATTTGAGTATTCTCTATATTAAATCATGTTTATTTGTCTTGGTAGAAAATGGTATCAAGCAAAATACCCCGAAGTGCACAACTCCCTCCCCGAGAGACTCAAGAGTAGTATGATAAGCTCTTTATCATTCATGACAGAGGAGTTGATACATGCCATCTGCAGGAGTATGGCAACATTGTGGGACTCCAAGAGAGAGTTGGTTTGAGTCCTATGATGAACAAGGGTGTGGAGTGAGGCAATATCACTAGGGTGTGAGAGTTCTCTTTGAACTATAGCTGTGAGCATGGTGCGAATGTTGCTACCACCAAATTTGAGGGAAACAATCAAGCTTAGTTAAGAATACATCCAGAAGATCCTTAATCTTCCAACTCCCTAGAGAGATTAAAAGAACCTATTTTAGTATTCTACAAATGTTGTAGCTAGTTCTATAAATGGTCAAAATAAATTTAGGCTTAGCCCAAATTTGGGAAGTGAACGCTTATAGGCTAAACTCTTCATACAGGCCTAAACACACGGCTACATCAAAGCCCACCTAAACAACATCAAAGTTCATACAAACCTCACACAAACTTTGCCTCAAATACCAAAATAGGCCATGACATCCATGTCCTAAGGAATGTGAGGTGTCCACTTTCTTGCGAAGCTTGTTTGCGTCGAAAGGTTGTTTATTCATGGAACTCATTATAACTTCAATTGTTTATAACAAGTTCAAAAGAGTTAGTCTTTTTATAATATTTTTCTTACACGAATGAAAATAAAAAGGTTATAACTCTCTTCAAACACACGCAGAGAACGTTTATCACCTGCTGCTTGTATGGGATCTTTGTCTGTGCCGGGGTTTATCCATGCACCATTATGGATCAGATCCGGTTGATCGGAATAAAATATCAATGCTCTTACTTCACAAAGTAAACAATCGCAGAAGTAAATAATCTCGACTAAGCGAGATTATTACTATTCTCAAGATCAAAACCTAGTTTGATCTGGAGAAAAAGGGAATGAGCCTCAGATCTCTCGAACTCTCCCTCTTTATGCTAAAGAACTTTGCCAAGATCTGTTAGCCTCTCTAAAATTCATCAGAATATCACTCTATCTCCTCTAAAATTCACGGCTCTCTTTAGATCTACCTTTATGAGGGTTCTAGGGGTATATTTATAGATTTTATATGTCATGTTTGTGGATAGGATCGAAGAACAACTACTATTATCTGTATAGGTAGGTTTTCAGTTGTGTAACAGCTTCCACACATTTAAGGATAACCATACATATTTATGGATGACCCTAAAGAGTTATAGAAGCCAATCTTATCAGAAAACACGTCAGGAACTAACCTGGACATGAGTCACTTCGAAGTGACGAGGAATTTCCGAGTCACTTTGAGGTGACTCGGATTCTCCGAGACAGTTTGTACTATCTTTGGTATTTTGACTTTAATTCTCTCATCCGACCTCAGGATAAAGTGACTCAAGATGTGCTAAAAAGCTAACGAAGAGAGCTACAACTTTTATCTTTTGAGATTTTTGGATTCAAATCTCATCATGGTCAAAATTTTACTTCTTCGTGCGGGTCAATCTAGAGT